ATCTGGAAATGCTTAACCAGAAGAATAGGATAGGCAGAAACATACGTGCTAGGAAAAAAATCCTCAATCATACAACAACAAAGGAAAGACTTGAGAAAACACTTAGGATTATATGAAAGGAAAAACAACTAGGTTAAAGCTTCTAGACACTATGCTAAACAACTTACAAGTCAAAGCGTCTAAGAGAGTTATGTTGAACACGTAAGCTATATTGTACCTAATGTAGTCAGTTGAGCTCTAAAGAAGTGAAAAGGTGTCGAGACAATGTCTCTAACTAAACCCTTAAAAAGCCTTACATAAAGATCCAAAAGCTTATAGAAGATGAAACATGTTGACCGTTCTATCTGTAAAAAGGCAATATCCTAAAAAGCATTTTCAATAGACTAGACGATACCAATGACAAAGTTCTTACTCAACATTTGGTATCTTAAAGAAAAGTTTAAATGATAAATGCTACCTCAACGGTAGGAAATGTAAAAAGAACTTTGTTGTTCTGAACAAGCATTAAATGTCATTAAATATTCAACGTTCAAAAACATCAAAGTGATAAGAGATAAGACATATCTACTGCATGCACAATCTACTATATTCTATGCAGATAACCCGCTACACGCATCCACATGCTTTATTTGAAATATATCAAAAGTAGACATTAGAGATAAAGAGATGTAAATCTCTTTCGAATCTTTCCATACTAACCTCATTAAATAGAAGAGACTGATCAATCGCCTATGACTAACTTTTTATTCTATTTAAACGCATTTCTCTTCTCATCTTCTCAACTCATTCTCTCAAACTCTAATTCCTATCTCACCGTCTTGTCCTTTCCAACTCTTGAGTCTCCCGACCTTCAATATTCCGAGTCAATAAAACCCTCTTCCAAACCTCCTGACCGTCATTATCATCTCATCCGATCACTGGAACAAAATGTACATGATAATCCAACCTTCTCTCTTACTCCCATTCTAAGAACCGACCTGTCTTTCGCACGTAGTTCTTCCACCAAACCTACGCCCCTCCTAACCAAAGCCAATACCTAACCATCATTATTACATTCCTCCCTTACCCTATGATCCGCTCAATGTCTTCCAGGTCACATCCTCATATTATTCCTCAGGTTTAATATGATTTGATGTTGACCAATCCTATTCGTCGGGCTATGATGTCCTCTCTCTTCCGCTTCCCTTTTGATGTTTATCAAATAAGGGAAAGAGTAGAGAAGGAGTAGATGCGTCAACATCTAAGAGCATGTACTCAGGGGGAGTACACTAAAAGTTAGGATAGTATAGAATCAGGGGGAGTTTCTCCATATTCTTAGAGTTCATTTTAGGAGTCCATGTTTACATTCTTGTAATTTGTTTTGTTTTAATGAAATTGTCTGTGAGTGTTTTTTAATTTGTGATTATTATCTACTCATTTTTATTTGTTTCTTATTTATAGCTTTATCTATTTATGTTCTCGTTTACTCATTTATTTGCTTTTGCACATTATTTTTTTTCGACTATGTCCATTAACAACATGCAAAAGATAAAAACAGACAAATATAAAAGACATAAGACTTAAAACTAAAAGATGAACTAAAGAATGAATACATCGTTTAAATGTGTATTTGATAAACATCAAAAAGGGAGAGATTGTTAAAGACAAAATTGTCTATACGGACGAACAATCTCAATGTTTGAAGTTTAATCAAATAATATTAAAACGGGTTAATATCCAAAAAACAACCTAGGATAAAAACACAAGACTTGGAGCTTAAACCCAAACAAACAATAAGTAGAATTTGAACCCCAAACATAAAAAAACATAGGAAAACAATTAGGTCCTGGAGATAGAAAACCTTAGGCAAAACACCTAATGCATGACTAGACGATGTCTTGTCCAAAAGCATCCAAGAGAGATTGAGGGTTAAACGCTAAATTCTAAATACCTAGAATTATGTATTGACTTCTCTCTTGAAAACAAAAACAGGTCGAGACCATGTCTTCACAAAACATTAAAAAGACTTAATTATTAAAAACAATAAGAAAGCCTAAACAAAGCTAACACATCTGTCTAAAAAAGAGACAAAATCAAAGAACCGTTTATTGACCAAATTGATACCATGAGTTTAACAAATACCTCATCCTCAATGAGTACTTACATATGCTTGGTATCTTCAACTTAAAGACTTAAAATTAAAATACTACCTAATGGTAGAAATCAAAAAAGCACTTGTTGTTTAGAAGCAAGATTAAATGACATTAAATGCTCAATGTTCTAAAACAACAAAAATGATAAGAAAAGTCATATATGATGCAGGCACAATTTACTTTAATTTTGTAGATAAGTTATTCTACACGCATCCATAGTGCTATAGATCAAATATCAAAATGTGGACATTAGAGACAAATAAGATAACCACAGAATGTCCCTCTCTTGAAGCAAAGTCTAAAAAGATCGTACAACCTACTTTAAGCAAAGGATGAAAAAGCATGCATGCTTTGACAAAATTGACTTACACAATGACTGTTGTGAAAAGAAGAAGAAAAAACAACAAGGTAATCAAGACTACAACTACAAACCTAGTCTAACGGACAAATTATCATGAAGCCTATAAATAGAAGATCTCTCAAGAAGAAAATCAAGAGGATAAAATAAAGGATAGCTGAAGAGCATAAAAAAAAGCTTACAACGACATATCCATCCTAAAGAGAGAAAACAACTCAAAGAAAAGAATACATTTGAGCTGAAGAAAAGAGAAGAGAAGAGAAAAAGAGAAAGAGATACCCTCGAACTTAAGCGTCAAATTTCTTACTACTCTAGAGAGAAGAGAGAAACACATGTGAGTGTTTAGCTACATTGTATTGGTAATCAAATCCTCTCGTATAATGAGTTAGTTAAACGACTTATAAAGCAATCCTTTTGCATTCTGAAGAGAAGATTAAAATACTTACAATTGAACATTTTAAGTTGAGGAAGCTAGGCATGATTAGTTAGTACCAAGAGTGGTCAAATACTCAAAGGAATCTTGACGGGTAGTTAGTACCAGGAGTGATGGTAATATCAGAGGAAATCTCGGTGAGATAGCTGAGTATCAAGAGTGGTGTTAATACTCATTTGTAATCGTGTAAAGATTATAGTGGAACTCTCTACAGAAGAGACTGGACGTAGCTCATTTAGAGCGAACAAATATAAAATCTCTTATGTTATTTTCTCTTCTCTTTACTACAAGATCATCTTGAAAACCTGCAGTTAGTTTTTATATTTCAAACTACAAAACTTCCAAGTTAAATGATCATTTCTTTTTAAAGAAGTTCTTACAAAACACATATAGTAGAAACATTCTGAATAGCACAACAATCTTATCAACGCATATCAATATATTTCAAGTCAAGCGTCTAAGCTTTCAAAAGAATATTTCACACATTCAACACGTGCTATATCAGAAGGGTTACAAAAAATCGTTTCTCAAAAATACTATCAACTTTTTCTAATGTTTTTCAGGTACTTTATCTCTGTTATGAAATCTTTTGAGGTTAATGGTATTAAATGATTTATAAATATGATGTAGTTTTGATTATTTTAACTTGTTGATACATATAAGTTTAAACTTATCTTTTTTTTTTTCGTTTTGTTGTGGTGTTTTCCCACTTGATCACATTAATATGAAACAAAGGATGGTACGGGCGGTGGCAGTGGTACCAAGAATTGGGTTTGTAGAGTCTAGCGGAGTATATAATTATATCGTATAACAGAGGATGGTGCAGATACAATGTACAAAATAATAGACTTGGAAATCCCGTACAATAGTCACACATGTTACTTAATATCATTGACAATAGCAATACTTAGAATTATACATAAAGATAAAAAATAAAATATAAACAATGAAATTTACAAATGGAATATATACTAAAAATATAAATAAAAAATATATATATTTATCATATTTATGGATTTTCATACGATACTCCAATATTATCCTTGAAAACTTATTTTCTAAAAAGTTCACGACTCCTCTAAGAAACATTTTAATTTATGTCTTCTGAACTAAAAATCTCTAACTCTTTCTATTTTCGGACAAATTTCGAAGAGAAAATAAAATAGAAGAGATGAAACCAACTTTATGTTATTTGATTAAGGAGAAAAATAGAAAGAGAAAGAAAACAATTGGGTTTACATCCACTTTGCGAAAAAATAAGAAATAGAGATTAAAAACGGGATTTGTTTATTTTTTATTAAATTTATTGCAATTATAATCTTAGTTAGTTTTCTCTTATGACATAAAAATATATATTACGAAAAAGAAAAATATCTCATAATTTGAAAGACAACTTTTTCTTTTTCAGCTTCTTTTGTATCCTAACAGTCTAAAGTTCTATCGATTTTTATTACTTTTCCAAACACATTCTTTTTGGCTACTATCTAAATTCTATCCATTTCTATTCTCTTATCAATATCTTATTTTTGTCGTCCTATTTTAATACTCCACAAATGCATGATAAATAAGTACAAACATCTTTAATTTCGTTTGAAAGATTTTCACCTCAGTTTTGTAATTAATTTAAAATTTTAAATAGGTTAACATTTTCTTATATCATTAAAATCAAGTATATGTTTAATTAAATCTTATAAAACTAATTCATAAAATTAAGTTTTTATATATATTATTCTATTTTAATTAAATTTTTAGATAAAGAGTCTTTACATGAAAACAAAATGAAGTTTATCCAATTTTGTACAACTCGAACAAATTTAAACATATCTTAACAGAAATAATGCACCGTGGAAAATAAATGAAAGAGGTGAATAGTATTACGATAATACAGAATCTAAATTTTTTATTGATATTATTTTTATTTTTTTAAATACAAAATTTTATATTTTTATGATTATTTTATCTTTATTAAACGAATATAAAAGTGAATAAACAATGATACACTGTTCTCCTTTATAGTTAATGCCATTTTGTTTATTGAAAAAATAAGTGAGGTGATGAGATATAGCACCCGTGCTAACATTTTCTCCTTTTCACTGTTCATTGATGTGAAACATCCCTTTGTTTTGTTTTCCTCTCTACTCCACCACCTCCTTTTTGGTTCTGAAAATCATACACCCCTGCTCTGACACAGAGACCCAATTGACCAAAAGTCTGAAAAAGTTAGGTAAAATGCATTATGACTTTCCATTCCTTTTCTTTAATGCTTCTTCAACGCTTTCTGTGCTTCTTTTCAAACTTTTCTGCCGTCTAACTGACCCAAAATCACATTTTTACGAAAAATGACTTTCTGGTTGGCCTTAGAATGCCGAGGTTTTATTTGAATGGTGACTGTTGAGCATAGAGTTCAGCTACCTGCAATGTTAATGGTAATGGGATCTTTACTTTCTGTTTGGTATCTCACTGCTTCTACGTGAATTCAGTGCTCTTTTTCACTTCCTTTGTTACTTTTTATTTTCAAATGGTTACTATTGATTGCTTCATCCTCACGCTGTTGTAAAATGACCCCTTTTCTTTATTTGACCATCCTCTCTCCTGAAGTGGGTCGTTTTTTAATTTGCATTCAGATTTAGTAGTCTTTCCTTCTTGTTTTTCCAGTATTTAGTTTTGGCGCGTGGTGTTCATATCAACAGTTTTCACCTCGTTATTTGTCTTTTTTATGTATGCTGTTACAGTTTGGTTCATTTTACCGAGTGTTGAAAAATTTTGGAGGTTGGGGTCTTCCGAGTTATGGAAAGCAGTGACCTTCCAGTGATCATTTGAAGCTGAACACGTATATTATCTCTTTTGGTTTTTGAAATGGAATTGCATAGATATTGCCGTATGGCTTTTGTGCAATGGAGTTTCCTGGCTTGGTTTGTTTTCTTTTCTGTGGGACTTGAGACCCTAGCCAATTCTTGTGACCAGCATGATTTGTTGGGCCTGAAGGAATTTGCAGGCAATCTTACAAAAGGGTCTATCATCACAGCATGGTCAGATGGTGTTTTCTGCTGCAAATGGGTTGGAGTTGTTTGTGAAGATGTGGTTGATGGAGGTAGTAGAGTGTCCAAGTTGATTCTACCTGGAATGGGTCTTAACGGCACAATTTCAAGTTCTTTAGCTTCTCTGGATCAGCTGAAAGTGCTTGATATTTCGTTCAATCGTCTCCAAGGTGGATTGCCTTCCGAGTTCTCTAATTTGAAGCAGTTAGAAGTTCTTGATTTGAGCCATAATATTCTGTCTGGACCACTTGTTGGGGTACTCTCTGGTTTGCAATCCCTTCAGATACTGAATATTTCTAGCAATTTATTTGTTGGAGACCTCTTCCAATTTGGGGGATTACAACATCTCGTTGCTCTCAACATAAGCAACAATTCATTCACTGGCCAGTTCAATTCTCAAATTTGCAGCTTCTCCAAGGGTATTCATATTCTTGATATATCACAAAATAATTTTTCTGGTGGTCTTGAATGGTTGGCAAACTGCAGCACATCTGTCCAAGAGTTACATTTGGATTCCAATTTTTTTACTGGCTATCTTCCTGATTCCTTGTATTCAATTTCAGCATTGGAGCAGCTCTCAGTCTCTATGAACAACCTCTCCGGTCAGTTAAGCGTGAAGCTAAGTTATCTCTCAAACCTAAAATCTTTAATAATTTCTGGAAATCGGTTTTCTGGGGAGCTCCCTAATGTTTTTGGGAATCTTTCGGACCTTGAACAGCTAATAGCGCACTCCAATTCATTTTCTGGATCATTACCTTCCACCTTGGCCTTATGCTCAAAACTTCAAGTTCTTGATCTTCGGAATAATTCTTTGACAGGTTCTGTTGGCCTTAATTTCACTGGGTTGTCTAATCTTTCCACGTTGGACCTTGGTAGCAATCATTTTAATGGACCCCTTCCAAATTCTTTGTTCAATTGCCATGAATTGACAATGTTAAGCCTTGCAAAAAATGAATTAACAGGCCAAATCCCTGAGAGTTATGCGAACCTCACTTCACTTTTGACTATGTCTCTGTCAAACAACAGCTTTGAGAACCTAGCTGGGGCGCTTTATGTACTGCAGCACTGCAAAAATCTCACAACTCTTATCCTCACAAAGAATTTCCGTGGTGAAGAAATTTCAGAAAATTTAACGGTAAGCTTCAAGAGCCTTGTGGTGTTAGCACTTGGAAATTGTGGTCTCAAAGGCCGTATTCCTGTTTGGCTGTTAAATTGCTCGAAATTGGAAGTTCTCGATTTTTCATGGAACCATTTGGAAGGCAGTGTCCCTTCTTGGATTGGTTGGATGGATCATCTGTTCTACTTGGATTTGTCAAATAATTCTCTTACTGGAGAAATACCAAAAGGTTTGACAGAGCTGAAGGGCCTCATATCCCTAAATTATCATATATCAAGTCTCTTTGCATCTGCTGCTATTCCTCTCTATGTCAAGAGAAACAAGAGTGCTAATGGGTTGCAATATAACCATGCTTCGAGTTTCCCTCCATCAATATACTTGAGCAATAACAGATTAAGTGGAACAATATGGCCTGAAATAGGTCGTTTGAGAGAACTTCATATCTTAGATTTAAGCAGGAACAACATCACCGGCACAATTCCCAGCTCTATCTCTGAGATGAAGAATTTGGAAACACTAGACTTATCTAATAATAATCTATACGGAACTATTCCTCCATCATTTAACAACCTCACATTCTTGTCTAAGTTCAGTGTGGCATATAATCACTTGTGGGGAACAATTCCAGCTGGGGGACAATTTTCAAGTTTCCCAAATTCAAGTTTTGAGGGCAACCTGGGTCTGTGTGGGGAAACATACAATCATTGTAACAATGAAAAAAATGTCGACATTTCCACTCCTTCCTCGGGTAAATTCTGTAAAAGCAGTGTCCTTGGCATCACAATTGGTTGTGGAGTGGGCCTTGCACTACTTATTGCAGTTATTCTGCTAAGAATGTCAAAGAAGGATGAGGATAAACCAGTGGATAACTTTGATGAGGAGCTTAGCTGGCCAAACAGGGTACCTGAAGCAGTTGTTTCTTCAAAATTGGTTCTTTTTCAGAATTCAGATTGCAAGGATCTCACAGTTGAAGATTTGATAAAATCTACCAACAACTTTAACCAAGAAAACATAATTGGTTGTGGTGGGTTTGGCCTTGTCTACAAGGCAAATCTTCAAAATGGCAGAAAGGTAGCTGTGAAGAAACTTTCGGGATACTGTGGTCAGGTGGAACGAGAATTCCAAGCAGAAGTGGAGGCACTCTCTAGAGCTCAACATAAGAACCTTGTTTCACTCAAAGGTTATTGTCAGCATCTTAATGACAGATTGTTAATTTACTCCTACTTGGAGAATGGAAGTCTTGACTATTGGTTGCATGAGAGTGAGGATGGAAATTCAGCTCTAAAATGGAATGTAAGACTCAAGATAGCTCAAGGTGCAGCTCATGGACTAGCTTATTTGCACAAGGAGTGTGAACCACATATTGTGCACAGAGATATTAAATCTAGCAACATACTTTTGGATGATAAATTCGAAGCTTATTTGGCTGATTTTGGTCTTTCAAGGCTACTTCAACCCTATGATACACATGTTTCAACAGATTTAGTTGGAACTTTAGGATATATTCCTCCAGAATATAGTCAAGCACTGAAAGCAACATTCAAAGGTGATATTTATAGCTTTGGTGTTGTTCTTGTTGAGCTTCTCACTGGTCGAAGGCCTGTAGAAGTCATTGTGGGGCAATGCAGCAGGAATCTAGTGTCTTGGGTGTTTCAGATGAAATCTGAAAATAGGGATCAAGAAATTTTTGATTCAGTCATTTGGCATAAGGATATTGAGAAACAGCTCTTAGAGGTACTAGCTATTGCTTGTAAATGTATAGATGCAGATCCAAGGCAGAGACCCCATATTGAATTAGTTGTTTCATGGCTTGATGGTGTAGGATTTGATGGCTCTGAATAGTCATCATCTTAAAATCGCAGCATTCATGACATCTATCTGATTTTTGTTTGTGTATCATTGAGTCAGGAAATACCAATATAAGGCATCTTTGTAGTATGGTGGTGGGATATTCCCATATTTTTATAAGGATGCATTTGTTACAATATGACAGAAATTTCATGCAAGAGAATGCTGATATAATTTGCAGGGTAAACAGTTGTATTGACATATTAAAATAACAGAAACAAACTTTAATTCTATTAGTTTTGTTTGAATATCATTCATGGATAAAGTAATTGAACATGTAGATAACTGATCTAGTTCAATCAGCTTGTCATTTGTTAGTTTGTTATTATGTATAATTATCTCACCTGATCTTGTTAAAAGATTTATAAGTATCCTTAGGAACTAAAACATTATTTAGAGTTAAAAGTTCCATTGTTTGCTTAGTCACTTAATTCTTGCAGTTGCCAGTCCAATGTAACAAAAAGATATATTCACCCTAAAATGATGTTCTACAATGACATGATCTTTTTGATGTCGTGAATGACCATTGCGTACAACATAAGTAGAATTAAAATTAGGAATATCAATGTCATATTCACAAAACAATATCACACCTTTCAATAAATTTTGTCAAATAAAAACAACATATTAAATGATCATTAGCATCACCTTTTTGAGAATAAGTTGATCCATCCACAATAATTTTTTGAAAAATCAAACAATTATTATTTAATTTGCAAATCTTTAAATTTATTTTCCAATTTTTTATGTGCGACATCTAATTTTTCAGACCCATTAAGCAATTTAAGAAAAGTTTTTTGTAGATCATTTCACAAGTTTCAAAACTAGAGCAACTTACTTGGCTTGCAGTGTCATCAATATTAGTCATCAAGCACAAGTTGGCTTCTTCATCGGAATCACTTGACTAGTTGAGCTTGAGTCATTATCATTCCAAGTTATATAAGTCTTCTTTTTCTTGTGAATTTTTTTTTCTTTCTTTTCTTCACTTTTCTTGTTGTTTGGACAATCAACTTTAACATGTCCTTTTTCACAACATTTGTAGCTTAAGGAACATCCTTGATTTTCTCTCTTGTCACTTCTAAACTTTTCTTTACCCTTAACTTTCATGAATTTAGTAAAACTCTTGATCATGAGACTCATATGCTCATCATCATCAGAGTCATCATATATTCTTGAGTTTTTTCCTTTAGAAACCTCTGTTTTGAATGCCAAGGTCTTCTTCTTTTTTCCTTGGTCTTCTTTTGCGGTTAATTTATTGAGCTCAAGCTCATGCTCACGGAGCTTTCCAAATAATATCGTCATGGACATTGAAGATAAGTTTTATGACTCTGAGATTGCAGTCACCTTGGGTTGTCAAGTCCTATCCAGAGATTTTAAAATTTTGACATTAATTTCATCAGTATCAAAGGTCTTACCCAACGATTGACAATGTGGGTAAAACGCTTTTGAACGTCTGCTATTGTTTCTCCAAGTTGCATTCTGAACATTTCTTACTCTTGGATTAATATATTCTTTCTTGCACGCTTTACATCGTCTGTACCTTCATGAGTGACTTTGAGAACTTCTCACATTTCCTGTGTTGTCTTACAAATATATTTTTTATAGAATTCATCAAGCACAGAGTAGAAGAAATAATATTTCTAGCTTTTATATCAAATTGTTCTCTCCTATTTTCCTTAGCCGTCCAAGACAAATAAGGTTTTTCTTTTTCAATACCATCCACAGTTCTAGTTGGGATAAAAGGACCATTTTCAAATGCTTCCCAGATGCCTCTATCAACAAATCCCATAAATATTTGCATTCTGACTTTCCAGAAAGCATAATTATCACCTGTAAAAAGTGGTGGTCTGTTAATGGAAGCACCTTCAAAATATACTTGGTTATACCAACCATTTTCATAAAATTTGAAAAATTATCAAAGCAAGCTCTGATACCAATTGTTGGAATTAGTATCGCGCATCGAAATGTTTTAAAGAGTGTGATAAACGGACAATTAGCAAGAGGGGAAGGGTTAATTGGTTCTTTTAAAATTTTGGTTCTCTTATAAAACTTTTATCAAACAGTTTATGAATAAAAGGATGAAGAAATAGAGAAAATCACACAAATGATTTTATCCTGGTTCGAATCAAAAGATTTTATTTCCCGTCATTAATCACTATAAAAGAGTGATTAACTTTTTCTCTAAAAATCAATTTCAAATTATAATGAGAATAATACAACAATTAAGAACAAAATACACCTTCCTTCGACACATGATGGAATGAATATCAGCTCAATCAACTTGCAAAGAACCGCTTGCACCTTTAGACACAATAACCACAAGCTTCTCCTTTCTCTAGACTTGATTAAGCTCACACTTAAACTAAAGAACTTTCTCATAACAAATTTGTGCCCTCAAATGGTTTAGGTGTAGTTTAAAAGGTTTAGGAAAGTTCTATATATAGGCCATGGGTTAGAAAATGAAAAGACAACTCACAACTACTAGTGATAATCGATTGTCACAAGTGATAATCGATTGTTTCGAGCTGTTATAGGTTTTGGCAAACATGATAATCAATTATCCTTAATGATAATCGATTATTGTCGAACCCTGGACAATATCAAAACTTGAAGTGATAACTGATTTTCCCCTATGATAATCGATTATTGTCAAGACAAACTCTTTTTCGCTTTTGCTTGTGATAATCGATTATCCCCTATGATAATTGCTTATTGCCGCAAGAAATCACAAAGTTATGAAACTTCTGAGTGTTTACAATTGAAAAAAAAATCTTATACAAGTGCTTTCTACAATGAATGCTTTTAACATTTAAAGTATTAGATTCTTCAAGTCTTCAAGTGCATCATCATAAAAATCACTTCAAAGCATCAATGCTTCTCATTGGTAACAAGTATACTAGTGGATAATTTTTATGAACTTTATCCTCCAACACCTACAACAAATAGAAAGGAACATGTCTCTAGGGAGCCAAGAGAACGTAGAAGAGTCTTCTAGGAGTTTTAAAGAAAAACCAAGGGAAGGGACATCTACACACACTTGCACTAGTGATATTAAGTTTTTTATATGTCTTGGTATAGGTCACATAACATCTCAATGCCCACTAAAAAGACTATGATTCTTAGGAGTGATGATATTTATAGTAGTCAAGATGAGAAAAGTGAGAGTGAAGAATCTAATGAGTCCAAAAGTGATGATGCTTTCCCTTGTGATGAGGACTTTATTATGATGAGAAGGATCCTCAATAATCAACCGAGTCCACAAACACTAACACAAAGAGAAAATATTTTTCATACAAGATACAAAAATTTTAGAAAATACTTGTTCTCTAATTATAGATAGTGGATCATGTTCCAATTGTTGCAGCACTAGGTTGGTCGATAAATTGTCATTGATAGTCTTGCCCTATCTAAAACCTTATAAACTTCATTAACTTAATAAAGATGGGGACTTGACCGTGAATTAATAAGTAAAGGTAAAGTTTTCCATTGGCAAATAATAAGATAGTGTTGTATATGACACAATGTCTATGGAAGCATGTCATATCTTATTGGGGAGGCCAGGATAATTTGACAAGAAAACCATGCACAATGACTTCAACAACGAGATTACCTTCATACACAAGGAAAAGAAATTTGTGCTTCATCCTTTAGCGCCTTCAAAAGTGTTTCAGGAGAGAAAAATCGAGAAAAAAAAGTCCTCAAAATCTCCAAAAGTTAGCTAATGATGAACAAGAGGTAGGGAGCTTTGAGTTCCTTCCCCCGAGGTCATTAAGAAGGAGAACATTTTTAAAAAAATTATTAAAAAGAGTTCTTCTAGTTGAACAACCTTATACCTTCTTTTGTGTAAAGCAACACTCACATGCACTGCCACTTCTCTAGAGCATAAGAAGCTATGTCTTGGATTAAAAAACCTTTTCAAAGAATTTGAAGATATATTTCCAAAGGAAGAACCAAAAGGACTACCATTTTTTAGTGGAATAGAGCATCAAATAGACCTTGTATCTCAGGTTAATCTACCAAATAGACCAACTTAAAGGACTAACCCACAAAAGACTAAAGAGATAAAATCTCAAGTTCAAGAGTTGTATGAGAAGGGTTGGGTTCAAAAAAGTCTTAACCCTTGTGCTATGCCANAGCTAATGATGAACAAGAGGTAGGGAGCTTTGAGTTCCTTCCCCCGAGGTCATTAAGAAGGAGAACATTTTTAAAAAAATTATTAAAAAGAGTTCTTCTAGTTGAACAACCTTATACCTTCTTTTGTGTAAAGCAACACTCACATGCACTGCCACTTCTCTAGAGCATAAGAAGCTATGTCTTGGATTAAAAAACCTTTTCAAAGAATTTGAAGATATATTTCCCAAGGAAGAACCAAAAGGACTACCATTTTTTAGTGGAATAGAGCATCAAATAGACCTTGTATCTCAGGTTAATCTACCAAATAGACCAACTTAAAGGACTAACCCACAAAAGACTAAAGAGATAAAATCTCAAGTTCAAGAGTTGTATGAGAAGGGTTGGGTTCAAAAAAGTCTTAACCCTTGTGCTATGCTAGTTCTATTAGTACCTAATTAAGAGGACAAGTGGAGAATGTGTTGTGATCGTAAAGCCATCAATAATATTATTATTAAATATACACTCTTAGACTTGATGATATATATGCTTGATGAGTTACATGTGTCCACTATATTTTTCAAAATTTATCTTAAGAGGGGTTATCACCAAATAAGAATTAAAGAAGGTGATGAGTGGAAAATCGTTTTTAAGACCAAATTTAGACTATATGAGTGGTTATTGATGCCTTTTGGCCTTAATAATGCATCTAGTACATTCGTGAAATTTATGAACCATGTCCTTAAGGATTGCATAAGTAGGTTTGTAGTACTTTATTTTGATGATATCTTAGTGTATCGTTGAAGTTTGCATGAACATATAAGACACTTGAGAGTTATTCTCTCCACTTTGAGGGACAACCAACTTTTTGAAAATGTAGTCAGATGCACATTTTTGTGTAAATAATGTACTGCTTTTAGGTTCATTGTCCACAAAAATGAGGTACATGTTGACCCCGAGAAAATCAAGGTCATTCAAGAATGATCTACTCCTAAAAATGTTGGAGAGGTTAAGAGCTTCCGTGGAT